GCGCATCAATCCTAACTACTTTCAGTTCTGAAAGCGTGGACACAGTTTTTCGAACATCCCAGATAGGCTCTCTTCGTCCTTCATAACACAGTGCCCCTACGAGTGTAGGGGTATCACACATAACTGCCTGGGCGTCGACTCCACTTGATACGCCATCTTCAGGTCTGTAAATGTCATGGTTCTACCGTGTGTCAAGTTCAAGTCTTCTCCCGCGTTAGTGTGGATGTAATGCATTTTTGGTTTCTTGGGAGAATGACTGCTTCCGAACTGTGAGCCTCTGGTGTTGGTCGCCGAGTAGTAGCATACGGCCATCCATCGTCCTGTCGTTCTGATAGTAATTTTAACGCCAACGTGCTGCATAGGGATGGCTAAAGGCCGTTGGTTCTGGTGACAAACGAGGTTGATTAAATAGATGTTATTATAGAAGGGTAAAGGGTTTTTTTTAAAGGGTTGACTCCTTATTAACGTGGGTGGAGCCGGAGTTTGCTTGATGTGGCCGACCAACGAGAGGTAGTGTGACTCGATCTTGGCCTGTTGGTAAGCCAAGCACGGTCGAACTCGTGCGTGTCGGCCAGGCGTACTGAGCTGCTATCAGCTTGGCTGTAGTCTGGAGATGCCATGAACCTTAAAAACCCGTCATACAAATGCGGTAAGCGCAATAAGGTGAAGATGTCAGGCGATGGGGCTCTTTAAATCTGGCAATGGTTGAGCTACCACGCGAGGTGAGGATTTCCAATCACCAACTCGGAACTGTGGTCATGGTGCTGAGGTCTCTGTTGTTCGAAAGTTCGAAATCCATGAAACAGCATCTGCTGCCATGTTGTCTTTGCCGGGAATGTGTCGGTTTTCTAAAGGTAATTGTCGTAAAACCAAAATGTCGAGTTTCTGGAGAAGGTAGCTTTCCAAACAGTTCCAAAAGTGACGACCAGAGGCTAGGGGTGATTACAAGTGGTTGGTCCCTCAGAGCATATATATATATATATATAACGTAGTGCAGTGGAGCGGCTAGCCGGAAGTTCACACCAGCACATGTACCCCGTCCTTTGTAGCAGCAAATGTTTGGAAGAGAAAACAGAGGGTTTTCAGCACCTTCGGACCGTTGTCAAAGAGAATACTGGCTCCATCAGAGGCGTGTACGGCAATATTCAGCGGGGCGCTGGCATCGAAGCAATGGATCATGTTAACCTTGGAGAGCGATCATCATCATTATCATCATTGACAGCATGACATCACTGTTCACTGCTTCACTGTTCAGGTGCTTCACTGCCCTATCGATCTTTCGATAGCTTCAAAGATGCAGTGTGCTTTAGGTGAAAACTCGACATGACTGGTCGTTCGACATATGGGTGGGCCCGTAGGCAGACAAACTATTGTAACATCCAGGAATGTACTATCGACAATACCTTGCCATTCCGTCTATGCGACCAAGGTCGTAAGGTTCAACTTCATTCTTCGGAAGACGAAGGCCGCGTTGGTCGTCACGCCATCTGAGATCCTCGATGGCGGTCTGTCCAAAACTGCATTTTTTAAATTGTTAATCACTTGGTGGTTGTCCAGTCACTCGAGTACGGCGGCCAGGTGCGCTTCACGTTCTTCCTTTGATGCACCGACCATGGACGAATTGTCAAGTTCGGAGTAGAGACAGTCAACCCCCTGTTAACTTCTTCGCCAAAGCGCTGGAGGACTCGTGCCGCACTCCGAAGACCGGGTTTCATAAGCAACACGTTTCGCAACACGTGGCCAAGCCAACGACCATGGATGTCAAGTTCGGAGTAGAGACAGTCAACCCCCTGTTAACTTCTTCGCCAAAGCGCTGGAGGACTCGTGCCGCACTCCGAACCGAAGGTTTCATAAGCAACACGTTTCGCAACACGTGGCCAAGCCAACGCAACCTATGAAGCGTGATCAGTTCATCTATTGAGGGTGAGTTATTTCTCCCAAATATCATTCAACGTACTTCAGAATTGCTGATTCGGTGTTCCCACCAGATTCGGGCAATGCTCCGAAGACATCGATGGTCAAACACTGAAAGTCTTTTGACGTCCTCGGCGCGCAGCGG